TAAAACTTTATTTGCATGAATAGTAAAAAAAAAATTTCTGTTTCTTTGAGGAAATTTGGTGTTGAATCCTTATATGCACAAAAATAGGTTACACCACTGTACTATAAAAACAGATTCGAAATTAGAGCAGTAATTTGAAATTCATATTGAATGGTTAACGTCCTACATCATTTCTGATTGAGTGAAAATGCGTCACTTTACATTCAACCACTAATGAGCACATATTTATCATGAGAAATCAGGTCAGATTATGTGTGACGTGTAGTTTTGGCTGAGGATCGTGACCAGAAATCGATAAAAACATAGAATAGTCATTAGCAAAACAAAGCTGTTATCATTTTATTTTCATGAAACTAATATAAATTTTCTTCTATTATGTTGCAAATAATTTGTCAACTAAATTTTTGTCTTATTTGAACATAAAGTTTATATAAATCAATTCTAGATTTTATGCATGAAGTTTAAGACATTCAAAGTTTTATGAAACTGGTCAAAAAAAACTATAACATTGCCATTATTTAGACATCAAAATGGAATATTTTTATTTATACATACTATACCAAATATTATCAAAATCACTTGAAAGCTATCGATTGGGAAAAAACAAGGGCAGAAATGGAAATGGAAAAATACATATATTTTAAAAATATAAAGAAGGGAAAATTGTAATATTAACTTATGAAGAACTATATCTAATATGTATAAAACAATTTAAAAAGCTGAAATTTCATGATTTTTCTTTTATGGTACACCACCAATTAAGGCTAAGATAATCCTTTTGTAATCACCAGAAACATCATCCTAAAATAGAAGAAAACAAATTAATATTGGAGAATCACATTCCATGAATGTGGGGCAGATTAGATCAATATTTCATAAGAATGTTTCACTTGGTGATACAAGCACCAAATTTGGAACAGTGGTTCCTGAGTATCTACTCTTTCAGAAGATAACTTGCCAGGCAAGGTAATATACGGTCACTGGCAGCTTTGATTTTAAATAAAAATATTAAGCAGTACCGTAACAATTACCAGTATAAATTTTTGTCAAATCTTTGTGTTAAGACAGTTATATATACGGACGGACAGACACACAGACGGATCGACACACAGACAGACAGGGGCTATATAGGGTTTATCCTTGAGTGATTACAAACACTCACACAAAGTTTTGTCAAAATCCATCAAAAAACCAGCGCTTTATCGTGTCCACAAACAATTCAAGAACAAGAGCAATAACTCATAGTAAATATTTTTGATTCGTCTGATTTTCAAGACAGACAGACAGCCATGGGCAACGACTATATACGCCCACAATTTTCATTGAAATATCTATTGTTATATATCATTATAGAGGGCAGATGAACACTAGTAAGATTCAATAAGAATTGTTGGTGTATGTAAATTAGGTCACGTGGCAGAGCTCTTAAAAGATAAAAATCATAATTTTCAATCGGCTATAAAACCGGAAGTAAACAGTGCACAGCACAAATGAATATATCACTGGATAGATATCATCTAGGGCAACAAATTTGGTTCCGGCCACAAGGTCACGAAAGGTCAAGGTCACGAAATAGGAGCCTTTAAAGTTTTGGGCATTACTGAAAAATTTTAACCAGAAATAAAAGAAAAGAAGAATTGAAATTAAAAAATCGGCTTCCAAATTTCTTTTCGCAATCGATACGGATATCCGAAAAAATCTCAAAAAGTCAGCGAAAAAAAGTCAAAACTGTCGATTTCTATCTTGTAGTCATTAGCGCGAAGTAATAAACAGTAAAATTTGAGCAAATTCAGATTGGTATTAGTGCTGATAAATAGAAAAAATTTAAGGAAGCCACTGTCCACTGCTCATTTCCGGTTGGTCAAAATGGTACCAATTTACATTTAACAAATAATTGTCCACCATTTTGACTAGAAAACAGCAACAGACAGTCTGTAGCATGTTTCCTTCTAAGAAAACAAGCAAAGGTAAAATTCAAAAAAAAAAAAAAAAAAAATAGTCATTTGCAAAACAAAAGATAGCTTGCAATGCAAGGTAACATACGCCCACTGGCAGCTGTCAGAAATAATAAAACAGTCTTTAGTGGCTAAAGTACGAATTTTCTCATATTGAAGAAATTATTTATGATGAATAATACCACAAAATTTCCCTTCCCTGAAAACCAAATACAACAAACAATTAAATCACACAGCTCTAATCAAGGGCAAAAAACAACTTTTGACGCGTGTTTACAAAGTCAAGGGCAATAACTCAAAAAATGTTCATCAAAAATATCTCTTGTTAGAACTTGTCCGAGATCTTATCAATTCCAATGATCACACTCAGTTTCATCAAATTGAAAACTGAAGCTTCTATTGTGCTCACAAACAAATTTTGACGCATTTTTCGTAAGTTAATGGCAATATCTCAAAAACATTTCATCGAAAATGCGTCAAGTTAGAACTTGTCCGAGATCTTATCAATTTCAATGATCATACCAAGTTTCATCAGAATTGGTTGAAAACTGTAGCGTCAATCCTGCTCACAAACTATTTTCAACAAATTTCGACGCATTTTAACAAAGTCAAGGGCAATAACTAAAAAATGTTCATCAAAAATATCTCTTGTTAGAACTTGTCCGAGATCTTATCAATTCCAATGATCACACCCAGTTTCATCAAAATCGGTTGAAAACTGTAGCTTCTATTGTGCTCACAAACAAATTTTGACGTTAATGGCAATAACTCAAAAACATTTCATCGAAAATGCGTCAAGGTAGAACTTGTCCGAGATCTTATCAATTTCAATGATCACACCAAGTTTTATCAGAATCGGTTGAAAACTGTAGCTTCAATCCTGCTCACAAACTATTTTTAACAAATTTTGACGGGTTTTTACAAAGACAAAATTCATGTGGGCATATACAAAGCAAAATCAAAATTAAAAGATAGCTTGCCAGGCAAGGTAATATACGCCCACTGGCAGCTTTTATTTTGAACATAAATATTTAGCAGTACAGTAACAATCACCAGTATGAAATATTCAACCTTCAGTCATACACTTCTTTTGAACTCTTTAGGGCGATACTGAATAACATTGAGTATGAGTTATTGCCCTAGTGCTTGAAAACGTGTTCAATCTTTAGCTCGTGAAAACTATAGAAGACAAATATTCAATCTTCAGCGCGGTAATGAATAATAAAACCAAGTTTTGTCAAAATCCGTCAAGAATTGTCCCTTCTGGAGTGTTTACAAGCTAAAATTTGAATGCGTTTTCAAGAACAAGGGCAATAACTCATACTAAATATTTTTCAATTTTTCTGTTTTTCAATACGTTTTATCCATGGTGATAACCAACACTCATGCCAAGTTTCGTCAAATCCGTCAAGAATTGTGCCTTTTAGAGTGTATACGAACTAAAAATTGAACGCATTTTCAAGAACAAGGGCAATAACTAATACTTATAAATAGTTTATATATATAAAGCTCTATCGCGCCTACAAGAAATGTGGACGGACGGACGGATAGGGGCGACGGCAATATACGTCCACATTTCCATGTGGTGGTTGGACACAGATCTGTCAGCTTCCAGGCTGTTTTACGTTATATGTATTGGTCGTAAAACATAAGTTCTATTTAAGGATTTAATGTAGATATTTTTGCGTTTATTAATGCAAGATTTAGCACGTGACAATTGGATGTCCATCAACCAATATCCGCAAATAAAATCTATAGTCAATTCTTAAACAGTATTTTCATTCGGTAGCGATCATGAATCTTAATTTTTATGGATAAAATATATGCTACAGTGGCTATAACCCAATGCCAAAAATGTTTTAAGTATTACAGTTTTTGCTGGGTACAACAATTACAACATCCACAGACAGCCCTTTTCTGATATAGATTTTAGTACCCTGTTTTGATTGACAGCTGTTGTTGTACTGTTTTAAGTTTATGGCCCCATACTTAACACCTGCAATTATTGACTTGTTTAACCCTTTGTAAAATAATTATCTTGTCTAATAAAATGGATTTTATTTTAATTCAATCACCAAAAGACACTCAAAATCATTTTATATCAAAGACTCTTTAAATTGTCTGAGTAATTTTGTTCTATATTGTCTTACTTGTGAATTATGTAAATTTCAGTATGTTGGCCAGACAATAACCTCCTTCATTATTAGACATAACAAACATAGGAGCAACATTCAATAGGCCATTTGCCATTTTTTTTCGTCTGGGTCAATGACGTCTATATTAGAGTTATCCCCCCTTAACACCGGACAGACGACGCCATTTGTTTACACTGGCAACTGTCATTAAAATAGGTCAAGCAAATGAATAACAACTCACAGAATTTACATTTACCCGAGCAAATTAATCATCGATTTTATAAATAAGTATCTGCGAGATAGAGGCGTGACAGTTACAGGCTACAACAAAGAGGTTTTGAGAGAAATAGCTATCGCTGTTGATAAACTTCGATTGCCCGTAGACCCTGATTTTAGTCGCGAATCTGTGGAAGTTTGTATTGAGAAAAAACTATTAAAACCCTATGTAAACCATTTTGAAATGGATGATTATACCAAGGATTTCAGCTGTATACCAGAATTTGGACTCATTGATATTTTCAATTACTTAATATTTGCCAAGGCTGATCTGGATGGGAAGAAACTGAAAAGATACAAGTCGTTCGAGGACTACAGACTTTACTATGACAGTCACGTTGAATTTCTCATGTACAATCCAGTTAGTGATACGTCCAAAGCTAAAGTCAAGCCTACACAAAGGGACAAAACATACTGTAACAAACTTTCATTTTATTTAACATTATACATTATTTCGTGTCCATTCCAAATTATGTACGCAACCTATTTATGTATGACGTCATTCTTTCTAGAACATACTTCACAATAAACAAACTTCGTTAAATGGCACCCAACGTGGGGCTGGGTTCAATACAAGAAAATCGACTCAAATTACAATAATTTCAACGTCAAACTATCACAAACTATCACAAACATGGACAAGAAGGCGATGGATCGAGTGAGAGCTCAAAGAAGAGGACACAGGTCTGTCACAAAACGACTTATTCAAGAATCAAAGGCGATAATGGAGGACTTGAATGGCGAAGCAAGTGAGTCTATTTTCCATCGGCTGCAAACGATTCATCAATATTTGCAAACAAAGTACAACTTATTGAAAACATTTGATGACACAATCATTAACGCTTGTGAAACCGACGATATCGGACATGAAATAGAAGAGGCAGATGAAGTTCTGCTTCGAATATTGGATACAATACGCGGCCATGCAACTTATTCAAGATCGGTTTGGAAAGACTCAAAAAATCATATCTACTCACATGGCCAATTTACTTAAGTTACCATTTTGCAACGACTCTAATTATAAAGCATCACAATTACGAAATGTCTTAGATATTGTCAGTGTCAACATTCAAGCCTTAGAGGCGCTTGGCGTACAAGCTGCACAATATGGGGGCTTTTTGATTCCGATTTTGATGGAAAAAATGCCACAAATAGCCCACGTGTCATCTAAAGACGTTTGGGAATTAGATGAATTATTGGAGGTGATCTGAAGTGGAAGCTCGAGAACTCTGTGAGACAGTTCGAGTTAAACAAAAACTGATTATCAAACTACCGCTAAACAATTCAAGAAACCTACTCCAACTGCATTGTCATTGGTAGTTCGAGACAACAAAGCATTCAAAATTGTATGTGTATATTGTAGTGGTGATCACTATTCATCTTCTTGCCAAGAAATAACTGACATCAAAGCGAGACGCAATATTTTGAAACAGACAGATGGATGTTTCCTTTGTTTACGAACTGGTCATACTGTAAGCAAATGTGACAGTCAAAAAACTTGTCGTAAATGATTTGCGAGTGAATCAAATCTCAAGCACCTACTTCAACTCACGTCACAACCACCACAACTGTAACCTCGAATTCACAGAATACAAAAATTCTTCTTCAAACCGCTAATGCCTATGTCGTTTCTCAAAAAGATTCAAGTACCATACCGGTTCGTTTGTTATTTGATGGGTGCAGTCAAAAGAGTTATATCACAACTGAAACACAAACAAAATTAGGGCTTAGATCTGTCAAAAGCGAGAAATTGAATATCAATACATTCGGAAAAGAGAGCTACATTCCAACGACATGCGACTTGGTTGAAATTAGATTACAAAACAAACATGGTGATGAATTTTTACAATTCAGGCTCGGACATTCTCAAGCATCTGTTCACCAATATCTGTCCATTTTGATGTCAAACAATATCCTTATCTTCAACATTTAGACCTCGCAGATGACCCAGCAGAACATGACTCGTCACAACGTACAGATATTCTAATCGGAGCTGATTATTATTGGTTATTAGTCACTGGGGAAACGATTCGAGAATCAAATGGTCCAGCTGCAGTGGAAAGTGTTTTTGGTTGGCTGATATCCGATCCAGTTGAGTCTCCGTCCGACAAACATGTAGTTTCAAATCTCATCATCAGCAACACTGTGAACTCTTTGAATACAGAAGAATCAAGTACAGAGTTAATAGACAATTTGAGATCATTCTGGGACACTGAGGCAATCGGCATATCAGGTAAACCTAATCAATCAAATGGTATACTTTCTTTTTTGAAAGATATTGATTTCGACACCAATCTGAATCGTTACGAAGTACGACTGCCATGGAATGATATATGCTTACCAGGTTCAAATAATTACGATCTTTGTCAATCAAGATTGCATCATCTTTACTCAAGATTAAAAAAAAAACAATTTACGTCTTCATCAATACATCGACATCATAAACTAGTGTCCAAAAGATACGATACCAACTTATTTTCAAAATTGTTTTTTACTAAGTGAATTGTCTAATATGAAAACATGCCAATTCGTATTGCACATCCCAAACACAGCATAGTCGATAAAAATACCGGGAACACGTCATCACTTCTGGGGGAAAAAACGTAAATTTCGTGAAAGTGACATTTCCCTCTCTAGCATGTTCTGCACGTGCATAAAAACTGTGTAAAACGGCTGATCAGACACGTTGATATCACAGCAACAAAAAGAACACAAGATATGCCACGTTTGACAGCCATCGAGAGAGAGAGAGCCGTTGGAATGGTCCAACAAGGAGCGACACACGTCGACGTCGCCAGAAGGTTGGACTGCGCACGCATCACTATCACCAGGTTGATGCAGCGGTTACGTCAGACAGGTCAGACGTCAGACAGGCCCAGGAGTGGAAGACCACGAGTAACCACGCCCCGTGAAGATCGTTACATCCGGGTATTACACCTGAGGAACCGCACCGTAACAGCGACGTCCACGGCGGCTACAGCACTGGGACACAGGATCAGTCGACAGACCGTCTACAGGAGACTACGGCAGTATGGTATCCGGCCACGTCATCCCTACCGCGGACCGCTCCTGACGCCTCGACACCGGAACAACAGACTGATCTGGACCAGGCGAGTTCGACGTTGGCAACGGCGGGACTGGGCACGTGTTATGTTCTCTGATGAGAGCAGATTCCTCATCTTCAAAAACGATGGACGGCAGCTTGTATACCGACGATTTGGTGAACGTTTGGCGCTTAACTGTATCCAACAGGTCCGGTCGTTTGGAGGTGGAGGGTTAATGGTTTGGGGTGGCATATGTGGTGACGTCAAAACAAGGCTTGTCGTAATTCGTGGAAACCTGAATGCACAGCGTTATATTGATGACATCCTACGGCCTGTTGTGGTGCCCTTTATTCAGCAACAGCCTCGTGGACTCCTTTTCCAACATGACAATGCAAGGCCACACACAGCAAGATTGACACAAAACTTCCTTGCCAACGCCAAAGTACAGGTTTTGCCATGGTCCGCATGTTCACCGGACATGAATCCCATCGAGCACCTCGATCGGCAAATCCGACGTCGCCGTGTGCCTCCAGTCAACGTCCAGGACTTGGAACGATGTCTCCTCGAGGAATGGCAACGAATCACTCCCAACGTCATCAGACGTTTGACGGCATCAGTCCGTAGGCGTGTTCTGGCATGCATTGATGCTCACGGTGGACATACCCGCTATTGACTTGACTTTGTGACGTGTGGTGTGACATTTCCCGTTATTTCTGTGATCAGTGCTCTAACGAAATGTTCTTTTTTCGACCCCACCCATCTTTAAAGGCTTGTCATATTGGTTGTACAGATTTTATTGAAATGAAATTTTTGTACAGATGTTGTGAAAGGATTTTTCAAAAGCATAACACCAATCCTAAACTTCTGCATTGTTTAGTTTTTCTTTTATGTCGTTGCAAACAGGTGGTATCGTTTCTTTTGGACATTAGTTTACAAGAACAATTAGTCAACGGTATTATAGAAAAGGTTCCAGTCCAAGATGTTTCTGAAGTTGAAACCTGTTTCAAGAGAGGACAAGGATACCACCAAGTTGAGAATAGTTTTCGACGGTTCGGCTAAGTCAGATTCAGTTCCCGTTTCTCTCAACAATTGCTTAGACAAAGGTCCAAATCTCACTCCACTTATATTCGATGTTCTAACCAACTTTCGATCAAAACCTATCGGATTATTCGCCAATATCGAAAAGGCATTTCATCAAGTCACCATTCATCCAAATGATCGAGACATGCTAAGATTTCTATGGTTCGACAATATAGAAAACGATGATCCAGAAATAATTCAATATCGATTTCAACCATTAGTCTTCGGATTAATATCAAGTCAAGCAATTCTTAATTGTGTGATCAAACATCATCTAGCAAAAGAAGAGTACCAAAACAGTGAATTTATCAAACAACTTTCAGACTCTTTATATGTCGATGATTTCTCTGGAGGAGCCTGTTCCACAGAGGAAGGATTCGAACTTTACAAACAATCAAAGCAATTTTCAAAGATGGTGGATTTAATTTGCGAAAGTGGAATTCAAACTCCAGTGCTTTACGAGACAAAATCAACGCATGCGAAAATCCGTCAAATCCAGATCCATCCACTATTTCACAAACAGAATCCAAAATATTATGATTAATTTGGGACATAATTCAGGATGAATTTCGTTTCGACGTGAGCGAAGTTTTAGATTACATCAAGACTCTCCAACTCACAAAGAAGTCTATACTCAAGGTATCGTCAAAAATTTTGACCCTTTAGGATTACTCAGCTCTTTTTCAGTCAAGATGAAAATCTTATTTCAAGAACTTTGCGAATCAAAAGTCAACTGGGATGATGATCTAAGTTCGACGCACCAAACCATATGGAATCAGTTAGCAAACGAATTCATAATTATTTCGAAGATACGAATTCCACGATGTCTTCATCCAACAGAATCGAAACCCATCCTTTCTGAACTGCATGGATTCAGCGACGCATCAGAAAAGGCTTACGCCGCTGTGGTTTATTACCGGACAGTTTTCGACAATAGAGATGTCAATGTGCGCTTAATTGCAGCGAAGACAAGAGTTGCTCCAAAGAAGAAACAGACTATACCTCGTCTAGAATTACTAGATGCTTTGATATTGGCCCGCCTTATGTACACAATTCAATCAGCAATCAACAATAGTTTAGGTCTGTTGCAGAAAACCTATTGGACAGACTCATTCACTACATTATGCTGGATTAAGAATCCTAAACCATGGAAACAATACATTTAATACCGAGTCGATGAAATACCATCAATATCCGAGAAATCAACTTGGAGATTTTGCCCCGGAGTACACAATCCAAGTGATATTCCTTCAAGAAGCTGCAACGCATTCGATTTATTGAATAACGAGGAATGGTGGAAAGGACCAATCTTTCTTCGTCAACGAACTGATCTGGTCTGATTTACCAACGACTTATGACAACCCAGATTCGAACAACGAACTACAAAAACATCCAAAGGCAATCACCCATGCTTTAGTAACTGTCGATACTTTATGTATATCAAGTATTATCGATGTCCATCGATACAGTTCATTGACAAAGTTACTAAGAGTAACCGCTTTAGTTCTGAAGTTTCCCAGATTACTGCGACAACAACAAATTTCCAAATCCATTTCATCAGATGATTTAACAGAAGCTCAAAACCTATGGATTAAACAAATTCAATCAACTATTTTCTCAGAAGAAATCGACAGTCTACAAAACAATTCCAAACCAACAACGTACGTGAAACAATTTGCTTTGTTTCTAGATGACAACCATATTCTTCGATGTCAAGGAAGAATAAGGAATTCAGTTTTACCAGAATTCAATAAACATCCTATATTTCTACCAGCACATCATCCGTTTACAAATCTCATCATCCAACATCATCATCATGGGGTTCATCACAATGGCATACGAGAAACCTTAAATAGCATTCGAGAGCAGTACTGGATACTACGAGGACGAGAATCGGTCAAAAAATTCATCCGACAATGTGTTATTTGCAAGAAATTCGATGGTAGACCTTATTCGACACCTCCAGTTCCAGATTTACCGATTGATCGAGTCAGCATCAAACCTCCTTTTACAAACACTGGCTTAGATTTTGCAGGCCCACTATTTGTTAAATCTACAACGGATCCAAATTCAACGTTCAAAACTTACATTTGCTTATTTAACTGCTCATCTACCAGAGCTGTTCATTACGAACTAACCGCAGATTTAACAGTCAACTCATTTCTACAAGCTTTTAGAAGATTTGCAAGTCGACGTGGATTGCCAACTCAACTCTTATCGGACAACGCCAAAACATTTAGAGCATCAGCCAACGATGTAGTAAAAATACTCCGATCTGAAGAAATTTCGTATTACTTCATCAACAAACAAGTTACTTGGGAAAACATCGTCGAGAAAGCACCTTGGTGGGGTGGCTTCTGGGAGCGATTGGTACGAAGTCTCGAGCGATGCCTCAAGAAAACCATTGGTAGATCATCTTTAACGTTTGAAGAGCTACGCACAATTATCACCGAGATAGAAACGACCCTCAACAATCGACCAATCACCTACATATGGAACGTCTTACCCATTAACTTCATCAGATCTTATCTATGGTAGAAGAATTTCTACTTCTCCATCAGCTAGACATTACGACATTATCAGTAATAACCAATCATTAACCAAACGAGCCAAATATCATTTCAGGCTCTTAGACAACTTCTGTAAACTTTGGCAGAAAGAGTACATCGTAAGCCTACAAGAGATTACTGCCAAACAACCACGACAAACCAACCGACCTATTAGTTTGGGAGATATACAGTCGAGTAACCTAATTTCGTGGAAACCTATTATTCGTGGATTTCCGAAAATGATTAATAATTTACATGAGCGACCTTGCGCGACCTCTGCATTAGTTTGTTTTGATAAACATGGGTTTTCTCTACAATAAAAGCTAGTAGAATGAATTCAGTCGTTTCAAGCAAGGTAAAGTGTAATAATGTATACTTCGACAAATACAAAATGGCGGATTTCACTTATTACCAAACGTCACCATTTTTTATCGGCCGAATTTCCTTATAATCCCGAGCCGTAATCGGAATTCCAAGTGTCGTCTGCTAGAATATAATCCAACGAATGAAGTCACGTGATCAACTAGCGGATTCCGTGTCAGCAGAAAATTTCTATGGAACACAAAGTGGACCATATTCTTATGTTGTTTCAGTGACTTTTAGCAATAAATCACACTACGTATCTTATTTTGTCAGTCATTATTTTTTTAAAAATCAAGGTTCTTTGAAGGAATTGTCACTAGTTATAATGAATTGATATTAAAGATAAATATTAAGAGAAGTTAATTATATCACCCGGTAACCATACAACGTGTTTTTCTAGACTTATTTATAGATCAAACATTGTACACGAAAATAGGTGACGCATTCTGCCGCCGTTGCCGAGTTGGTTGCTCATGAAATATTGGTCAAAGTGAAGGATTCATAAAGAAAATCGAAATAAACCAATTTTAATTATTTTGTAGAATATCTGAGGAAACATCAAAGGCATAAATTTTTTTTTTCGTTTTTTTAACTTTAACGAAATTCGGTGTTGAATCCTTATATCCACGAAAATAGGTTACACCACTGTAGTTATCCTGAAGAACGACAACACCAAGAGGACTTTCTGGAAATTAGCCAGAGTCACAGAACTTTATCCCCGATGCGACAACCAGATCCGATCTGCAAAAATCCAAGTATTATCGTCAACAGACAAAAACCCTATAACCCTGAGACGACCAATTCAACATCTTATTCCACTGGAAGTGCCAAGTCAGGTACCAAATATTTAAAGTGACATTTTATTTCAAATTCTAAAGTGAATAATATAACGAACATTTAATTACTAAGTAGCTAATCAACCCCGGGAGTGTAACAAACTTTCATTTTATTTAACATTATACATTATTTCGTGTCCATTCCAAATTATGTACGCAACCTATTTATGTATGACGTCATTCTTTCTAGAACATTCTACACAATAAATAAACTTCGTTAAACATACCTACAGAAAGAGTTTTATGACTTACGGTTTGCTGTGGAAAAGGAAGATGGTTTTGTTATAACTGGCTATAGTGAATGCAAAGGAGGGTAAGAGTCTTAACTGGAACTAAGAAAGTTACTTTTTGAAATGAAAGAAAATTTTAAAAAATTAGTCTAATCCCTTATTCCTGTTATATTTATGAAGCAAATTTACTGGAACAATATGATATTACATAGTAGGCCTACTGGTAATATTTAATCTTCGTAAGTTTATTTTGGAAAATAGAGTAAATAGAATTTGCCAATAAAATATACATATGTATGTTTATTTCATTTCAGAGCTGATGGTGCATGCAGACATTTGGCCGCAGCTTTATATGCTCTAGAAGCATTCGAGGTTTCATCATGTACTGATGGTGAAAATATGTGGAAAAGGAGACCACGACAACAAGATGTAGCCATACCAATTCGCAACTTACAACTTGTTAAACCTCAGTATGGGATCTAAACCTCATAGTGACATGTTTGATCCTCGAAGCACTGAACATCGCTCAAATACAACATGGGAACAGAAAATAGAATTTGGTTTAAAATTACAACAGGTAATTGGTTTCCAATATATTTGGTATACCCCAACCCCAAAACCATTTGCATATACATATTGTGTATCTCAATTATTTTTTTTCTTGTTTTTTTATGTTTTCAGATTTCTGATAATGCCCAAGCCCTTGATCTCCTACTGGATCCAGATACTATCAGACCATCATTACAACAGAATTCGGCTCCTGACATAATACATCTTTCAATTTTTGAAAAGGCTAAATAGACTGTGATAAAGAGGAAAATGTCGAGATGTTATCCACAATATTTTTGGAATCATTCAGCTACACCGCATCAGAGGTTTCTGAGATATTTGAAAAAACTTCAGGACAGGCATGTAACAAATTATGGTTCAAAGTGCGAAAAGGTCTTTTACCAGCATCAAATTTCCAGCAGGCATGTAAATACACAGATCAAGAGCGGAAAATTTCCAGTCTTAGGATGCAGTGTTGATGGTATGTGCATTTGCAGATGTACTCCCAAACACCCTAAAAAAATAATTGAAATAAAGGGCCTATTTTCTCACAGATTTTCAAATCCCAAAGATGTTGCAGTATTTAACAATTGTAAGGTGGATAATGTTATGGTGGAATGGTTAGTTACCCCAAAATGTCCTTATTATGCTCAAATTCAGGGTCAACTTGGTATTTATGGTCACCAGTACGCTGACCTTGTCATTTATACTAAATGTGGCATTCATGTGTCATCTGTGACCTTTGATAGGGAATATTTCTCTAATATGATTGAGAAATTGACTTTGTTTCACAAGAAGTATCTTGCACTAGCAATTATAAAGAAATGCATACTTGCAGAATATGCTACTTGAAGCACACAAAACATTTATTGTTTACAACTACACATTTAATAAGTTATATAGAAGTAGAACAGTTTCATAAAATTATAATAAATGTAAAATCTTTGGTAATATCTCTATTTACAGGCTTCTATTCCTTATTTATGTACATTTACTGAGAACTGCAAACTACTTACAACTTTTTAATGTTATTTTCAGCAGAATATATGTTATAAGTTTATAAATAATCATTTATGCTGGCTAAGATAATTTGTTTAATATACAATACATAAATTCTAAATCACATCGCTCTATAGCCACGCCTCCTGACTGCACTACTTTCACTGAAGTTTCCTTTATAAACACGTTTTTTGTAAAGTTTGATTAATGAACAGTTTACAAAGTTTTTCTTACATATATCAAGTCAATTCTTAATTAAATAACACATTTGTTACCACAATACTTGAATGCATGCAATATTCATGCACAATAATAAATAATGAGAATTATACATGTATATTACTTGTTTTCCTTCCTGTAGTATAACTTAAAGATTAATCAGCATAAAAAATGTGGAATTCATGAGTTGAATAAAATATAAGCTTACTTAATATTACTTTACAAGTCCATGTTGCAGAGTGAAGCACAAACAAAAATCATTTGGTCAAACAGAGGGTGTAGTTTTAGTGGCATAACACCTTGAAGAAGTTTAAAGGTTTTCAATCGCCCAATAGCTCTCTCCACGTGAATCCTTACACTAGCAATACGCCGTGTCTTTGTAACAGCCTTGTTGGAGAGTTGCCTTCCCATAGAGAAGGGGGGAATGTTCAAGGTTGCAGATCTTTTTGCAAGTAAATCCCTGATTAAAAATCCTCTGTCTGCCATGATGTCATTGCCATGTTTTAAGTTGTCCAAAAACCCACTTTCTTCCACAATACGTTTATCTGATATACTACCGGTAAATTATTTTGAAATAAAACAGAAGGATCCTGTGGTTGTAATGGCAATAAAAGCTTTCAAGGTATTATGGTGCTTATATTGCGACCATGTTATGCATTGAGATGATGGAATACTGGGTTTCTGGACAAAAAATTCTGTACAGTCTATTATGGATACAGTTTTAGGAAAATGTTTAAATTGTCGCGGTAGGTTTTTCCTTACTTGCTCCTTTGCAGGCCATGATATCAAAAACTGTAATTCCAAATATAAAAAGTTAATCCAAGTTGTAAAAATTCTGCTAACATTTGATGAGTGAATTCCCATTAGATCACTAACTACATCTATATCAAACCCTCTTCTCAAACGAATAAGTACCATCAATAGTTCCTCCTATACAGCCAACTTCCTCTTTGGGCCCGTTCTCTGATTCTGAAGTTAGAAATATGAGAAAATGTAATGAAAATGACAACTTTGACATGCAGGGGAGAGGTAAGGAACAATAACAGTATTTTTCTCATCACATTTTCATTAAATAATCCAATATATTGCATATATATAGTGATCCCATAAAATTTTTGTACACATGCCTAAGATTATCGCATACATATGAAACAATATTTTAATTCTAAAAAAATGTCTACTTACACCCTTCATTTCTGTAGTATCTTGTGCCCTCCAATAATTAAGTCTTTCTGCTTTACTTCGTAACCACGTAAATAAAAGTCCAAACAAAGACAATGTTAGTCCTGAAAAAAATGGACACGTGCACTAAACCTTGATATTTTATATAATTATCAGTACCACTTGAAACACAAATATCAGTACAGGTACTGGCACATACAGTCTCCTCTGTAGAGAAAAAAGAATGCAGTTTTAATTCAAAATCAAATGATTATTAGGCCTAGGCTGCATGATAGACCCAACTTCATTGAACAAAAAATTCCCCAAGAACACTCCTATATTATATGTGAGCTTGATCAACTTTTGAATCCATGTATTTATCAGGCCTAGTGTAGCCAACCTATTATGTTAACAACAAGGAGGTGGGTATTGGTGCACAGGATTCTTGGGCCTTTTTTGGCCTCTATATTGATGGTAGGTTTATTCATATCTTATTCAAAACATCACTTACCTGTTACATTGGCCAAATCTTCTCTTGTGACAAAAATTCATCACAGTCTAAGTACTGTAGTAAGCCTCTAAACTCTTCACTGCCAGTTGATTCATCATCAGGTTTACTGTAAGAGTGTTCATTGTTGATGTTGGTTCGTCGAAATGTTGTGTTCTGGACATCTTTGTTGGTAATCTTACTCTTTCCTTTGGAGCTTTTCTCTTCTTCTTATTACTCAAAATTTTCAGTTCCAGGTCAGTCGCCAATGCCAGTAGAGGGTCTGTGTGTTCACACGTTGGCCCATTTCCGATGAAATGCTTGCTGCAAATGTAAGGTTGCCTTCCTAACATTCTCAATAGTAAAGTGTTTCCTTCCACAGAGCCGAAACCACCGTTTACACTTCTCCCTTTGAGTCTTTGGCTTTGGGAACGAAATAAAAAACACACAATCCATTTCTCGCCGTATTCCAACATATCTTGAATCGCTATTGCAGGTATCAGAATTGCTTACGATATTGATAATTGGCAAATCGGCTATTGAAAAAGGTTCATAAAGCTCCTCCATTTTAACCAACCTGGTCATGTTTATAAATGCACACTTCTGGAGAAAATTCCAAATGAAAGCAAAAGCAAACTAGAACTGTTCTAATAACAGTACTGATGCAGGGCATGTTACAACATTCAGGTACATACGAAGATGGTCTATTGCAATTACATTGATGTAAATACATTTCTACATCTCTAAATGCAAATATCCAAAAGTGCCTCGAGTTTAATGTATATTGACTAAGAATAAGAGAATGTTTGTCAATTAATAAAGGCCAAGTTTGATGAAATTCGGACAAGAAATAAGAAAGATGGTAATGCGCATAACAAATATTCATTATTTCCATCAAATTTAGAATTGGACTATACACATACATTCAAAGTTTGATGAAATTCGGGTAAGAAATAAGAAAGTTGGTAATGCGCATGTGCACAACAAAAATTCAATATTCCCATCAAATTTAGAATTCGATTATACACAAACATACCAAGTTTGATGAATTTCTAACAAGAAATAAGAAAGTTGGTAATGCGCATGCGCACATCAAAAATTCAATATTTCCATCAAATTTAGAATTGGATTATACACATACCTACCAAGTTTGATGAAAATCGGACAAGAAATAAGATAGTTGGTAATGCGCATGCGCACAAAAATTCAATATTTCCATCAAATTTAGAATTGGACTATACACATACATAACAAGTTTGATGAAAATTCGATAATTCCATCAAATTTAGAATTTAATTATACACATACATTCCAAGTTTGATGAAAGTCGGATAAGAAATAAGAAAGTTGGTAAATTAAGTGGGGGTATCCCTTTAATGTGCTTCTGTAAGCTCAACTTACAGTATAGCATGGTTCAATCCACCCGAGAGCTTATTTATATGCCACAACTGGACATAAAACAATCATATAAAACAAAATATAAAACGGAGGGTATCTTTAAACAACCAAAACTATTTCTATTGGGGTTGACAGCCATGTACGTAGGGAGTTTGAAGAGAGAGGACGTGTTTAACGAGCTCTCGGATTATACCAAACTTATTCGAGAAGTAACCCATTAAATTTTACCAAAATTGTACGGATAGTACCTGCCAACAATGTGCTAACGATGTATATTTCCATTGTGATGTATTCTTTCGATTTTTGGGGATATTTGTAAATATATATTTTGCGTATGTGAGAATATACCAAATAAGGCGTAATCAAGTGTGACGGTACACCAGAAGGGCCATGTCCTTTCAAGCGTAGAGGAGCAGAAGCCAACTTTGCTCAGGGTGATATGAAGTTATGTAAAGACTGTTTCAAAGTAAGATATGGTACACTGACTAGAAGATCTAATCATATCAACTTGTGTAAGAAAACGAATACCAATCCAACTAATACCAATCACCAAGCTAATCAAGATGTGAACCATATTAATGTAGAATCAGTAAATTAACCAAAACCAACTGTGATCAACGACTTGTTGTTGGGATATGTTGTTTACTCTCTCCAAAACAGTACCTCTGATAATATTAAAAATGCTGTAATGGGTCATTTTACATTAGAAAATATCATAGAAAGTAAGAATAAACTTTGGAATAATAGTGATAACAATATAATAGGAGAAAAGGCTTGTAGAAAGGACTCTGTTGTTCGACTGGAAAAGGAGGCCCATGTTATGGATATTTTGTGTGCCCAAGAAATACTGGATAAAGCTGATTGTGTGCCGGAATTTACAATATGTGCCATAGATTTGGGAAAGATTCCAAAAAGTTTCCCCCGAAGAGCTGAACACATTATCAATAGTTGAAAGACTTAACAGGTTTGAAAACACCATTTCTAATCTACAAGCGCTAGATCATACCATTTGTGACAATTTATCAATTAAGTCCAGACTCGATTCCATACCTTTAAAAACTTATGCCACATCTGTTCGAATGCCAACAAATCCAGATACAACCAGTAGAAAGAGACCTGTAACTAAAGGTACATCTTTGAATGTTATAAATGTTGGCAAATCTCTACTAAGACCCCCAAGAGAACATTCTACCGATCGTGTGAGTATAGTATCGTGTAATATGGATGTCAGGGCAAATTCCCATGTCACGATGAATACACACTATAATAACGATGATTTCCAGCTCCCATCACATGTCCAGAAACAAATCAAACGTAAAGAGAATGAGAGGCGTCAAATAATTTCTGGTAAATGTACCTCACCTAGTTGGAGTAGTTTCAAGGGAGCACCTGAACCTATCCGGGAATTATTTATTTACAGAGTGGATAAAACCACAACTGAAAACCAGATATCACAGCATGTAAGGAATCTTGATTTTAACGTGAAAGACATTTCATGCATATCGAACCCTGAAGCAAAATTCAAGTCATTTAAATTGTCTGTTCCTATGTCTGAGTTTAAACGATTATTTGATGACTCAATATGGCCGAATGGTGTCAGAGTAAGAAAATATGTCCCTCCTTGCCAGGAAAACCAAATTACACTCTCTGAATGCCCCCATCAATAGCATCATATAATTCACATGGCCATGGCATTGGTAGATTTGAATACATAGAATATCTCAGTCACAATCATGACATTATATTAATCCAAGAGCACTGGTTATTTCAAAAGGAGCTCACACAATTTGAAAATAAAATTCATAATGTCTGTGTGCATGGAACATCTGGAATGGAGTGTGACACTCATCTTCTGGGAAGGCCCTACGGAGGATGTGCAATTCTTTGGAATAATTCCTAGTATGTAGTATAAAACCTGTTGTATTTCAATCTAGACGGTTATGTGCTGTTCAAATTTCTCTGAAAAACATTGAACTTTTAATTTGCTGTGTTTATATGCCTTGCGATGGGGAGCATGCAGGTGAATTTGAAAGTACTTTGAATGAAATCAGTCAACTGATCTGTGAAACCA